CCCATGTCTCGCGGCAGAGAGGTAGAGGGGCGTTGACGCACGTGCCTCTCTCCAGCTGTTAAGGTGCGAAGTAATATTGATCTCTCCGCTTTCGAAACGCGCGGTCGCTGGGTTAAGTTACACTAGTCGAACTGGCAGAATGTTAATTGCAGAGTTGCTTTAAAGCCAATGTCAGGACCGATTTAAGGCACGTCAATATATTTCAACTTTAACAACCAGGTACAGGTATTGCTAGAGGGGGGAGAAGAGAATTCCTGGTGCTCGAATGCCAACTTTCTGAAAGAAAACCCAGATGGAAGTCAAAAAGTTTCCGCGATACACACACTGCGTAATTTTCTGTGTTTTATTGGGCATCGCCCTTTTTACTGACTGCTTGCTGTAAAAGGGTACATTTGTTGAGCATTCAACCATAGACGTAAAGGTGTTAATGAGGCCTGCGGGCAAATGTAGTTTAAATATTGCACCTCATATACCCCTAGTCCCAGCATTTGTCCTAGGGAAACGGTGTTTATAGGGATTTTTGGAGTGGGGAAATACGATAAGCAGTGAAGGAAATTTGAAGAAATAAGTGGAAAGCGGAAAAATGTAGTCGAATTTGTTTCCGCGGCCGTTGGGAGTAAGTTGTTCGTCATGTAAATTGAAGGTGTGTGTGGCGCTTCACGCCGCAGGCCATACTAATCTAACTCCAGAACGGTAAGTTGGGCCTCAGGTAAGTTGAAGTAAACGACCTCCTAATTGCTATTCCTATTTTTTTTCAGGAATTTCGGGAAACCCGCATTTTGATAATCGGGTTTTTCCGCAATACATCAAACGATAATAGAGATTAGGAAACGCTACAGATATAAAGCAGCAAAATTTATAGATACAATTAAATAAAAATGCATATAACAGTTAATAAAGTATATTCCACTTCCTATCCTTATTCCTCACCCATAAAACCCATATAACAGCCGCTTCCATAAGACAGGATTCTGGGACTAAAGGTATATGAGGTGCAATACATAAACTACCTTTGCCGGCCTGGGCCAGAATTAGCGTCATCCCCACGGTTGAATGCGAACTGTCCATTGCAAAAAAAAACTATATGGTGTCACCACTGTTAAAATTACGAAATTGTGTATTGTGTGGCGGTAATCGTTACTTTGGTTAAATTTACTAAAACGCGTGTCGGATGTACAAATCAGAAATCCAAGTGCAGATTTACCCTAGTAGGGCAGCTGTGACAGTAGATAAACAGTAACAGCCTATCGTTGGATCCGAACTAAAAAGATTGAGGGAATTAATTAATGGTGAAACCGGAGCGGACAATACTTATCATCAACAAAGGGAAATTCCGACGGGCAGTTTGCGAGCGTATGTAAACTTTCGATAAATTCTCGCCAGTCCAGTACATTTATATGGGAATGGGGTACAAGTTAAAATATGTAGTAAATAATGTTCATATGGATCGCGGAAATAGG